GGACCTAGAGGGATACCCAAAGAATTTATTCCCCTATTCTTCAAAGTCCAATAATTTTACCAGAATATGTCTTGTGTTGGCTATTTTCAGTTGATATTCTCAGGTATGCATATGATCTTTCAATTTGTACTTTCATATCATTTACTTTAATTTAGGAAAGTTTTCTTGAATCATAGCTTTTGGTATTATTTACTCCTTTGGTTTGGTTTGGTTTTTGTCTTCAGGTATTCCTATTGTTCACATGTTTGATCTTTTTATCCCATTTTCAATATTTGTTACTTTAACTATAATATTTTGTATTTCTTTTTTGATGTTTTAGAAAAAAATTCCCTTTTTTACCTTCTCTTGTTCTTAAGTATTATCAGTTTTTAACCTCATAGTCTTTTTAGTTTAATCTCTATTTATGTAATACTGTATTTCTTCACTTCTAATTCTTTCCTGAGGTCTATTACCTCACTTGTGAATTAAAAAAAAAATCTGCTTTGTATGGTTCTTTTCTGGCATGTATTAACTTTTTAATGTCTCTTAGCTTGTTTTCAAATAATAGCTTACAGTTTTGTTCTGTTCTGTGGATACATCTTTGCGATGTTCTTTCAGTATCTGTAGGGAAATTATTCTGCTCTATTTTTTTGATAATTTTGTATCAAATTTGACCTTGGTAATTTACTGTTGTCCTTTTTTATGTGATATTAATTTCCTGAACGTTTACAGTAAGGCCAGGTTCAGAAAATCATGTCCTAAATTGGAGAACTCCATCCTCTCTTGTTTTTATGAAGTGTTAAAAAATGTAGTGTATTTTGGGGATTTCCTGACCCTCCCTCTCTGGCTGCTGAGCACTTGAAATATGGCTAGTGTGACTGAGAAGTTAAATTTTTAATTTTAATTAATGTTGGGTAATTGATTTTTAATTAAAATTTAAATAACAACGTATGGTTACTGGCTATCGTATTAGAGAATGATCCTTTAGCCATTCACTTTCCACTGCCTCTTTTTCTCCATCCTATTCATTTTAGATTTCCTTCCATGTGGCTTCTTTTTGTGTGATCCTCTCCTAGAAAGGAGTCCAGGAGCATCAGTTTTAAGACATCACAAGAATGAGATTGCTTTAGCCCCTTCAATTATTCCGTTTCAGTTTCTTTTAGAAAATTGGCCTGCAGTGTTTAAAAACAAATAACTGGAGGAGAACATCTTGAGTTCTTTGTTCATCAGTCATTGTTTCCCTTCCTTCTCCCCACAAAATTGTTTATATATACATGTCTTGTGGCTTTTGGTAATTTGTTCTCATTGCTTGTGTTTTGGGGTTTATGGAGATGCCTTGCCACCTAGTTCCATTGCAAAGATTGTCCATGGGTTCTTAGTTTTGCTAACTAGTTGATCTGTTTTTTGTTCTGTTTTTTAATGTGGGTTTTGAAAGAGATTAAAAAGTATGCTGCCATTGCCCCATCTTCCTAAAATGCTTTGAATAATATATTTTTAAATAAGTTTTTTTCCATTAAGAAGTATTTCATGCTCATCATGGAATTTTTTTTTAAAAGGAAGAAAGGAATCCCCATGGACCCAACTATGAAAGGCAATCCACTCCTGACATTTTAGTGTATTTTCTTCATGTTGTTTTTCTGTTTATGGTATTTTGCAGAGTGGTGAGTATAATGTATATACAATTCTATATTTTATTTTCTTCCCATAACATTATATTTGTTTCCTATTATAAAAATTCTTATGTATTATCATTCAGAACAATAATACTTATGCTATCATAAATCTAGAATATAGATCATCCATTATTTACTTAGCCAATCCCTGTGTATTCAATTAAAAAAAATTTACTGGTAATAGTTTGCTCTGTGATATGTTGGTGTTTCCCTATAAAACAATGTGTAATCTTATACAAGCTGCTAATGAGCAATAATAGCTATATTAGTAGCTCAGGAGTGCCTCTAACGGGCATTAAGAAATAACTAACACCTTTAAAGAGGACTCCTGGGACCACATTAATAATTGAGACAGGTGTAGTTGTTTCTACCTTGAAAATTTACCTCATCTGGTACAGAAATCTTTCCTATTGGTGTTTCCTTCCCCTAGTGTTTTCAGTATGTTTACTGCCTGCATTTATATGCACATATGTATTTGTGTATATGTATGAAGTGTATTTATAATCAATCACCTGTATCTCCAGCCCAGAGCTTTCTTTTAACTATCAAACTCAGATTAAATTGCCTTTGCTAAATCAATACATACAACAGTAAATCTGTTATTTTTTCTCAATCTTCCTTCTTTTGTTTCTTACATTAAGGAGTGAAGTATATCCACCATATAGGTCACCAACAATAAATTCTGGAAAATTATTCTAGGCTTTTTATCATTCCTCCCTTCAAACCAATCAATCAATTCCAGTATTTTCTATCTCTTTAATATCACTGGTTACTCCTTCTAACTCTCCATACCCATTGCCACTGCCTTTGGCCATTATCCTAAATGCTTGGGAAATAGCTAGCATTTCCCAAGTTCACCAGTGATTTCCTTTATGTTAAATCCAATGGACATTTAATCCTCATCTATAATTTGCTGACTAATTACTTCTTGAATTTCCTCTCTTGGTCACCTGAACTGCACTCCATTTGTTTTTCTTACCCTCTCACTAGCCTTATCTCCTTTCTTGTGCTTTTCTTGCTCAGTTTTGCTCATTTGTAGTCACTAATACTCTCTTATTTTCCAATCTCCCATGTTAACCTTATTCTGCCCATGTTTTTCAATTATTTAACTATGTAGAATATTGACTCCTAAATCACATTTCCAGTCCAGGTCTCATTTCTAAGACTTATATTCAGATACTTCATTTCCATATCCCAACCTCAAACCCGCTATATTTAAAACTATACCCTTTATCTATACCATCCCCCAAAGAAAGCAAAACTAAACAAAATCCTTCCACTTATCTTATATTGTCTCTTTTCCTGAACCATCCACATAGGTGATCAAGTAAGAAACATGTATGTTATCTTCTATTCATTTCTCTTTCATCAACAACATCTAGTCACCAAGTAGTGGTGATTCTAACTCCTTAATACCTAACTTAACACTTTAATAGCTAAATAGGGACTCACAGTTTAAGACTCCTAACTTAGCACTTATCTACATCAACTTTTTTTCTATATAAGTTGTATAGTAATGAGTCCAGAGAGAAATCACTGAATTTTAACTTACATCCTTGCCAGTGATAAACATACAAAGTAATGCTGGGAAGGTGGGCAAGAAGGAGATGAAGGGCAGAATTCAGTGGTTAAAAATAAATGTATCCAGATCTTTGAAATCCCACCAACTAAACCCAGGATTTAAGTTACAACATGTGTCTGATGCCTTATTTAAACTGTTTTACTGGACATTTTCCATCTGCTAATCTCCCTGAAAGAGACCAAAATGCCTTTTCATAAACCTCATGTTTACTGGATCTTACACTGAGTGAACTTTTCAGGGGCCCAAAGTGTTAGGATAGTTTGGGAAAATGGGATGGGAAAGTTTTACTTCAACTGAATGAAAAGAAACATTCATGATCCATTTTGGTCACTCCACTTTTAGTTTATTAATAGGATAAGGAAAACATGCACATTATAAATCAATGTTCTGTTGAATTATGTTAACAAATAGCCAAGTAAACAAAAGACTTAAAGTGTTGACTTAAATAAATTTTGGATGTTTTCATACCAAGTTTCTCTAGGCACAGGAGAGAGACATCTGAACCTAAACATCTAAATTATTTGGAACTTTTTTCATTTTAAAAGTAGGGGCCAGATTAGAAAATCACCTGCTGTCCACCCATTATATTGTGTTGTCATAACATCAAACTGAAGAAAAAAAAAAAACCCTGGACTTTTCTCTTTTACTTAGTCAAAATGCTGTGTTTACATTTCCAAACATGCTGGAGACATCACTTAAAGACTTAGGAGCACAAACTCTGCCCCACAAGACTCAGATATTAAGGAGGTCTTTGCACCTCCAGTATCCTCAGTTTCCTGTAAAATGAGAAAACCAGACTTAATCTCTGGGATCCCTTCCAGATCCACCAATCTGATGGTATTCATTGCAATTGTTCCTGAATGAGGCCATGAAATGGATCCTGTGCTGGTGCTCCAGTGCTGTGTGTTAGACCTATGAAACTGTTTCATCAAAGCATGAGACACAGGAGCAGCTTCACACCAGTTCCCATAGCAGGGACAAGGAACAGGCTTCTACTTCCAAAGGAACGACACAAGCTGTCTTTGAAATGAATCACACTATCCTCACTTTGGAACAATTGAATGCTCAGAAAACATACATAACAATCTTCACTGATGTTTAGATGAAATGAAGTTCCTTTTTTTTTTTTAAACCATGCTCCCAGGGTTCCCACTTAGAACCCTAAGTCTTTCTTACTCCATCCTAGGATCAACCCCCAAGACCCTGTTTTTTAAAATTTATTTATTGAATTTATCATGGTGACATTGGTTAATAATATAGGTGTCAGGTGTACACTTTTATAACAGGTTTCTTGCCAGTACTTGAGACAATGGAGAAAAGCATTCAAGAAAGACTCTCTCCACAATTCAATAGTGAAATTAGAGTTCAATGCCTAGCACAGCGATCCCTAACAATCTCCGCAGTATGTTGTCTTTCTCCTTGTCCTGAAAATAAGTCAAGAAGTTAGTAGTGGGATAAGTACTCCTCAGGATACAGAAGTATTGTACAAGCTGCCAGAATGGAAAAGGAATCTTCCTCATCTTCAGCTGGGGAAAGGCTGGGCCCCCAATACTTTAAAACTAGGTCGACAGACACCGTGGAATCCGCAGAGACCTGGTCCCGGGTTCAGGAGCACTTTCCTAGGGCACCGCCCCGGACATTGCTCCGCTCCTCACCTCGACGCCACCGCACACTGGCCGCCAAGGTGCGTGAGGCGCTCGGTGATTGGCGGCTGCTGGCGCTGCCCTGCTGCCATTGGCTGCCTAGGCCTCTTTGTTCCCCGTCCCCGCAGTCGGACGGCTTCCGCGGACTGGGCGGCGGAAGTTTGACGGCGCCTGATGAGTGGCGGCTGCAGTGGGACCGGAGTCCCGGCAGATCTCTCCCCCCGACCCCCAGTACCCGCGGCATAGTCGGAAGCCAGGCTAACCTGGGTGTGAGATCCCGGACAGGAGAAGGAACCTTTCTGACACGCAAACATGGACCTGGAGGCCAAAGTGAAGAAGGTAGGGGGGAGCGGGCGGCGCCACTACACCTGCGCGGGACGCCGCCCCCTGGCCGCAGGCGGTGGGTGGGGCGCACGGGCCTCCGAGAGCCCGGCAGCGCGTAGACTCTCGCCCGGGGCGCAAGTACCCGCTCCAAGGTGTAGAAGGGATTCTCCACTTCCTTTTTAACTCCTGACATCTTGGAGCGACGGAGGGAGCGCGAGGAAGTACAGGCGCGGGGCCTCACTCCAGTCTAGCCACGTACAACGGTTGGAAGTGTTTCAAACTTTCCGTAAGATGGTTTGGCTGCGCCTTGCCTCCCAAAAAGAAAAGGACGAGGTTAGCGATGGTTCAGGCGAGACCATGACACTACTTCTTCCTGTCTCAGGAAGTGCAACTTTATTAAACATCTGTGGTTTAGGGGCACTGGTGTGACTTTGACAGCTCAGACCTCCTCCCCTCCAGCTTGGCTGCCGGAGGCTCTCCAAAGTGAGTGCTGATTTAATCAACTTCCTTTTCACCCGCCGCTAGTGATAAAGTGAGAAGTGATGATTTGGGGGGCTCATTCATTTCTTTACTTCCAAAGCACTGCCTCCCTCTTAGAAATTATCTCTCAAAGAAAACGTTCTCCCTTGTTGGCAGCTAGCCCCAAACAGTGATTGCCACCAGTGCTTTTAGCTCCCGGAGACGGTTCCCGCCTGGCAGACCTGGGCGTCAGGACCCAAGGTACTGCCTGAGCTGCTCCCTGGTTACCTGAGCTTTCGTCTCCTGGGAGGAAGGGGTGGGGACCAGACTGTGACTCAAATGGAATGCTGATGTCAGATTCCACTGATGTCACATTCCGGTATAATGTGTGTGTAAAGGTCTATTTCCAAGGAATTGGTCATATTTACTTTGCGGTAAATTTAAGCCAGCTGTCTCTTATCAAATAAGGAAGGAAGTTTTGCAGAGAGAGAAGAGAACCTAATTTTCTTCCCTTGCTCACTGTGGTTGCCAATATTGCCACGTTTTATCTTCTAAAGATAAAATTCCTGACCTGAGCATTCAGGTCAAAATTGTCCAAAATTGGATTTTTTAAATGTACAAAAATGCAAAATATTAGGTTAGCAAGCTGTTGAAAAATAAAAACTTTCAGTGGGAAAACAGATCATGTCTTATGAGAACCAACATTCAAAATGAAATCCAAGGACAGGAAAAGGTAATGTAAATTGGTGCCCAGTCCTCTGAGCCACACTGATTCCGTGTTAATTTAAAGAGTAGTGTGATTGCATTCTAGTCTTCTTACACCTGGTTTCTTAATTCTTTTATTTGCAGTGAAATGACACTATATTTTTTGTTAATTTTGCTTACCATTAAGAAAGTATTTTGGTTGCTCCTTCCGTTGAACACTTTGTTTTTAAGTGGGTAACAGTTACTTAATTTAGTAGATGTCTAAAATTTTGAGGGTCTTGTCCATGCTTATAAATACTGATTCCAAAACTACTTTTACAAGTCAACATCTGTTGGTAGGGGAAGGAGGGCTGAATACGTGAAGCAGAGACTATTTATGATGGTGGATATATGTGATTATATATAGGGTCTGGCAGAAGTAAGACTTGCTTGAGTGTGATTGGTAGAGTACATCAGTACCTGGCACAGGACGGACAGCAATTTAAACTGTTCACCTAAAGTGTCACATGGTGTGCTTGAGTGATATTGTTCTGTTACAAAATTACATGCTTGTGATTTTGTAATAAAAATGGGTGTTATCTGTGCTGGATGCTGTATTTTTCAAAACCCATAGACTAAACAATACTGAGAATGAACCCTAATAAAAACTATGGACTTTAGGGGATAATGATGTGTCACTGTAGCTTCATCAGTTGTTACAAATATGCCACTCTGGTGTAAGATATTGATACTGGGGACAGCTCTGTGTATGTGGGATGAATGTATGGAAACTGTGTTCTGCTCAATTTTGCTTGAACTTAACACTGCTCTGAAAAATAAAGTCTACTTAAAGGAAAAAAAAGTCAATATCCAAAAGTGATTTTGAAAGTATTTGAATATGGTGTTGAAAGAAGATTTGACTTTTGGTGGTGGACACGCAATGCGCTATACAGATGATGTATCATAGAATTGTATACTTGAAACCTATATAATTTTATTGACCAGTGTAACACAATAAATTTAACTTTTTAAAAAAGTATTTGAGACAAAGAAGGAATAATTCCAAGAGAAAAAATCCAAAGTTAAGAGTTAACTTTGTGCTTGCAAGGGAAAAATTCAGACATCATTTATAAACAATTTCCTTAGTTTTTAAATGTGGAGTATGATAAATAGTGCCCTTGATATATGGTATAATTCTTCTCCATCATCTCCCCTTTACTTTAAAAGGTAATCTTTTCAACTGAGAATCATATCCTTCTTTCTAACCCTCCTTCTTTCCTTCTCCCACAATAGAAAGCCATAAATTTAAAACTTTTACAGATAATCCCATGACAATAACAAATCCTTGTTTCATTACTTTTTCCTCAACCAGTAAGTTGGAAACTACTAAACAACTCCAAAGATGTCCAGTTTGACTGCTAACCATACCCTCTCTGCCTTCGTAGGCAGGTCCCTTGAAAGAATTGATATTCTGTGGATTTCACAAAGTTGCCCAGGCCAAAGGTAGATCCAGGAATACATTTTATAGTGTTAGCCCTAATCTGAAAACAAACATACAAATGAACAAAAACATTGAAAAGGGGGGGAAAATTTATTCCCTTTAGAAATTGTTTTCTAACACACCAGAAGAAGGAAACATCACAAAATTATCTCAATCTACTGGCAGAGCCCTCTCACCCTATTGTGGGTACCTAGATAGTTTTCAGGTCTCCCTTTTAGGCTTGGGCAGACAAGAAAAATAATAGTTTGAATGTTTTAAAAAGCCAGATTGGAAGTTGGAACAAAGACACAATCAACCATTTAAAGAAAACTAAATTTGATTTTTGTTTTAAGATATGTGGCATTTTTTCCCTTCTAAAACCCTTATACTGCTGATTTCTTAAAAGAGTTTTCCCCAGACAGATTAAAGCTGTTATTTCTTTTTTTACATTAATGTTTTGTGTAAGAAGAGCTACAGAGGGTTGTCTTTATTCCGCAGCCCAAGTGGATGATCCTATTATAGTATTCTTGGTTTATGAAAGAAGTTGGTGTGCAAATCATTTGCACATATTTGGATTAATTACCAGTTAAAACCCACCATCACAAAGACAAGGAATTTTTATAATTAGATTTTACTATATTTTATTTTGTTTGAAGTAAGTGAGCTGTTGCTAGGATGTGAGAGCTAGTTTGGCTATACAGAGTTTTTGTTTTAATAATATTTTAAAATAGAATTTGACTTTTACATCTTTGCCCTATCTTCTGAATGATGCATCTAGATTTATTCCTTATGTTTTCAGTCTCTTCATTATAACTGACTTTGTGTAAGTGGAGCCTGTAACTATTTGGAAAAAACAATGGCCTTTGAAAAACAGAGTCTCATTTTGGGGTGAATGATAAATCATGGACCACAGCCAGCCGTTTTATTTTGTGTTACTCTCTCATGAGAATCACTTTTTTTCTTTAAAAACATACCAGAAAAATAAATAATGAAAAAAATCATACCAGAGAGAAAGAGAACCATTCTAGAAGGAGAAAGAACTCCAGTAATTTCCATATGTTGCCTGGAATTGGTTCAGGGCTTACTCATTCTAACTTCTATCTTTTGATTCTTCCTAAATCTTGCATTTTTTCTAATACCCTTTTCTTTGTTCCTTTCCTTTTATTTTTAAAAGATGAAATGCATTTTAAAGATTACAGGCCACTGAAAAATCTCTTCTTAGCATCCAAACTTGTTTTAAAAGCTTCTGTCATTAGGAAAAACAAAAAAATTGTGAAACCAGGGGTTTGCAGTTGGAAATAGAGTACTGAACCACAGACATTATTAGAAATTTGAATGAACATTTTCTCTTAGGTGTTCCCTGATTGAAGTGGAAAAGGCAAGTATGGTATATAGTGACCTCAATGCTCAAATCTATAGTTGGATTTCTGCTTGAAACCATTCTTGCTGCAAGAATCACTGGCAAGGCTAGGGGTAGTGGAAGGCAGGGTAAGGTACTTCCAGGGCTCTGCCTCTCAGAACAAGTACAGAAGGAAGTAAATTAGTCCTTATCTTGGCTTTAATCCTCTTCTAACCAATGATGTGATTCATTACATTAATTTGATATGAAAAGTCACTTTTTCTGACTTGCCCTGAATATTGTTTTTGAATAGAACTGTAGTAAGTTTTCTATTGATCTTGTTCCATTATGCTATACTATGAAGTAGAATTGATTATGTCTCATCTGGCTATTAACTGTTTGCCACTGCCTCACCTCGTGACTTTGCGTTCCTATCTTCAATACTAAATCTTACTCATCCCTCAAGGCACCCCCCCACCATGCAGCATCTTCCATGAAACCTTTCTCATTATTCCTAAGCTAGATGTAAAATCTTTCTTCTGAATTTCCAAACAACATTATCTGTAACTCTTAGGACACTCATCACTTTCTTCCTCTAGACCAGTGATTTGTAACCTTTTTCATCTCATAGAATACAGAAACTAATTACTAAAATTCTGTGGCACACCAAAAATATATATATTTTTGTTGATCTGACAAAAAATAGGTATAATTTTAATTCATTTGCACTAGATGACTATTGTTGCTTTGACTGTTGTCATTTTATTATTTCAAAATCTAGGGGAAAAGAGGTCAGTGCTCCTGACTAAAGTCAGATATTGCACGTTTTAAAAATTCTGTGGCACACTGGTTGAAACTTACTGTTCTAGATTATAGTTTTCTTAGCTAGGGTGCATGCTTATTGAGAAAAGGATTCATATTTATACTTGCATAGCTATTTTGTGTGCTGTTCTAAAGTAATCTCATGAAGTAGACTTTGGCCTCATTTGAAGGATAAAGAAACTGAGGCTTTGATAGGTTAATCTGAACCTGGTAGAACCTATGATCTTAACC